AAGGATAGTAGCCTTATATTAATTATAAAGCTTTTTATAATAATTAAGAAGATTAATACTAGCCTAATTAAAAAAATAACCCCTAAACTTATTATAAAAATTTATAATATACCGGTATATAATTATTAAGGAGTTATTAAAACGTAAAAACGGATTTATTAATATTATAATAAATTTATTATACGCACTAAAATTAGAGAAGTAATTAAAGATTATATAATTTATAAAAAAAGTAAAAATAGCTTATATAAACCTTATAGCAAGCTATAGTTATTATAATTACTAATAGAAATATAATATTCGATTATATAGGACTTTATTATTAAATTACTAAAATTTAGAGAACTATTTACTAAAGTATAGTACGATAGTATCTTAATTATAGTCGATCGACTTATTAAGTTTACGTATTTTATTTTTTATAAAGAATTAAATACTATAAAAACTTAGTATATGTATTTATTAAAGTTATATTTTTAAACTACGGTTTACTAAAAGAAATTATTTTTAATAAAAATAAGCTATTTATTTTAAAGTTTTAAAAATCTCTAATTTCGTAACTTAGTATAGATTATAAATTATTAACGTTATTTTATTTATAAACCGATAAATAAATAGAAAGGATTAACTAGATCCTCGAAATATACTTTTGTTATTATATAAATTATAATTAGGATAATTAGGTAGTACTTTTATTAATAGCCTAGTTTATATATAATAATATAGTTAATAAAAGTATAAGAGAATCCCCGTTTTATTTTAATTACGGATTTTAATTAACTATATATAAAGAAGTATAATAAGGACTATAAGCTATAAAAGCTATAATAAACGTAAGTAAATTTAAAAAGATCTATAAATAAACCTTATTAAACCTCGAGTTCGTACGATAGTATATAAAGAAAAACATAAATAAATTAAAAATTAGAGGATTATTTTTAAAAGAGGGAAATAGTACTTATCTCCTTTATTATAATATTAAAATAAAGCGACTAAATAATAAATTAAATTATAAAAAACTTAGACTTTTTAAAATTATTAAAAAAGTCTTATTAGTTAATTACGAATTAAGATTACTAAATATAATATAATATTACCCCGTTTTTTATATCTTATTACTTAAGCCTATATTAAGAAGCTTATATATAAAAAATTATATTATTATTAAACTAAACTAACTAAAATATAAAGTTAAACGAATTATTAACTATAGAATAAAAAATAATAAAAAGGAATACTTTATTAAATAAAAAAACTATAAATACGAAGAAAATATATAAAAACTTATTACGAACTTTTAGAACTCTTAGGAATTCTTTTTAAAATATTAAAATTAAAATTAAAACTAGAACTCTTAGTTATTATAGCGTCCTAGTTAATTATTTTAAAAGTATTATTAAATTATACTTCTTATATAGTAGCTAATTTATCCTCGTTAATAATATTAAAAAGATTAGGGATCGCTTTTCCTTTTTTAAATATTATCCTTTTCTTTTTTTAAAAACGATTTAATTTTAATAAAAACTAATTTATTTTAACTTATATATAATATAAGGCCTTTATTTATTTTTAAAAAAAAAGCTTTTTTATCTCTTTTTCGTATTCTAATCTATCGGCTTTAAATAAAAAACGATCTATTACAAGTACGATTAATATAAAAAAATATTAATAAAAAAAAAATAACTTACGATTATATATAATATTAATAATTACGTTATAAAAATGACTACGACGTATATACTCGTAATACTTTAATTTACTTTTTAATATCTTATATTTTTATCCTAATAAATAATAAAATAAGTAAAGTATTATAATTTCGAATCCTCGCTCTTTAATTTCGAGAATAAGCTTTAGTTAATAATATATTAAAAATCTAACGAATATTTTAGTATTTTTTAAAAAAATTACTTAACGAGCCCTAACCTAGGCTATAACGACTTATTTATAAGCTTATAAAAATAAGACCTTTAAAAAAAAGACTTAATATTATAACTTAATATATATAACTAAGACTAGGGCCCGCCCTATAAGCTTATAGCGGCTATAGTATATTATATATATAAGAGTATAAAAATATAAAATAATTTTTATAAAATAGAAGAACTATAAATAAGTTATATATAGATAAGAAATAATAATTATATAATAAAATAATTATTATAATTACTCTAAATAAGCGCTTATTAATATTTACTAAGTGATTACTTAATAAATAAGAGTAATTATTAATAAAAAATATATTTATAAATAGATTTATATATAATATAGACTTAAACTAGGCTTAAGGATAGACTTTTATAGCTTTTTTAATAATTAACTTAGTATTAGATCTTACGATCGTTTTTAGCTATTTTTATTAAGAACCCCTTTTAATAAGACTATAATTAATTACTAAAGCCTTATTTATTTTATAACTTATAGATATAGCTTTAGGGAAGCTATTTACGACTATAATATTATTTACTTAGTATTCGTAGCTTTAATTTTTGTTAATATATTTATTATAACTAGCTGGCCGTAATACTAAGCCTTATACTCTTTATAATTTTTAAATTATTTCTTTTTTTAACTTACTTTTTTTAGGGTAGTATTTTAAAAAAATAATTAAAAATAAACGCTAAGTAGCTTATAAAAAAGCTAGATAAGTTATTAAAACCTAAATAAGTAGTTAGTTATAGTTAGTAAAATTAAGCCCTCTTTTTTATAAAATTACGGGTTTAAAGGACTTATTAAAAATATTACTCGCTACTCGTACTAAGTAAGGCTAATTATTTTAAAAATCTTTTTTTAACTACTTTTTAATACCTTATTTTATATTTTTAAGTAGTTTTTTTTATAACTTAATTATTATTAAGTAATTATTACTTATTAATAATTCTTTTTATTATTTAGTTAATTTTTTAAAATTAATAATTTTATATTAGGAGTTAATATAAAAAAGAAGTTCTTTAGTAGCCCTCTAAAGGATTTTTTTTTTTTTTAGATCTTTATTTTTTTAACTTTTTTTTAAGCTAATTATAATTTTAATAAGAGGTTATAAAACTATTTCAAAATAGCTACCTTTTTTTTAAGTTAATTTCTAAAATTTATAATATTCTTAGCTCGATATTATTAAGACTTTTAAATCCCCTCTTTTTTTATAAAACCGTTTTTTATATTATATTTTTAAATAATATTTAGAAAGTAATTAAGAGAGCTACGAAGAGGTTATTTAAATTACGGGCTTATAATTATATTTATAAAATCTTTATAATAATAGACCTTTTTATATATTATAAATCTCTTAATTTTATAACTTTTATAAAGTTATTTTTATTACTAAATAAGAATATTTATATTTAAAAATCCTTTTTTTTAATTACGTAGTACTTTTTTATATTATATTATTAAGCTCGTTCGTTATACTAATTAATTAAGTAAATAGTTATTACGTAAGTATCTTTTTTATTAATTTAATTAGTTAATTTTTAATTACGGGCTGGCTATAGGGAAATTATTTAATAAAAAAGCTACTTAAAATAATAATAAAAAACTAGTTATTTAAGTAGTTTTATTAATTAATATAGTTTAATATAATAAATATTAACTTTTTATAAATAGTAAAAGGTTACGATTACTTAATTTTATATAGTATTTAAGAATTACTTCTTTTTTTATTTAGTTTTATAAAATTAATTAGTACGAATTTCTTATCTCGTACGGTATTAAAAAGTCGTTTTCTTTATATAATAAAATATCTTATTAATTTATAATAATAAAATTTAATTACTAATTAGTATTAGTATTTTTATTATAAAGTAGTTAGTTTAAATTATAAGTTAATAAAGAGATTAATTAAACTATATTAACTTTTATATAAATATAAAAAAGAGGTTCTAACTATAGATTAGGGTAGTTACGATAATTATAAATAGGGCCCCTAATTAGCCCCTACGTAGTTAGTTATATACTGCGGTTAAATTAGACTTCTAATCTAATAGTACTAAAGTCCCGACATTTTAACATTACTGAAGTGAGCAGTTACGACAATAGTAGTTCAGGGAATTAATATAGATAAGAAAGAAGAATCGTAGTATAGTGGGTTTCTTACTATTGAAAATCGGTTTCGGTGACAAGAAGCTATACGTATTTAATACTTGCACTTGAATTCTCTGTCGGTCTCTACACTGGCATACTCCTCATTAATAGGCTTTGTGTATCTTACTATCACATGGTGTTGTGTTCACTAGTACTCACTACCATGCTCGCTACATGTAAGCGTTGTAAGTATAGACAAACACCGTTAGTGATGCGGCCAAATTCCCGTCGCCGGCTGAGTAATGTTACGATTGTGCGGCTTGCTGAGGCGTGCTTGCCAAGCGCTTTTTTCCATTAACCTGGTCCTGATCAGGTCTTGGCCAAGCTTAGTGCTGAGAGAATTGACAGCGGACGATCAGCCAAGAATTACATCTTACTAATCTTTTGGGTTAATATTGTTTAGCCCATTAAGATTCCCTTCAGAGTCGGGCACAAAATCAGTCCTTGTGGCGAAGCCAAGCAGCGAAGGAAGCGGAGGCAAATTTCAATGCACCTTACGGGCTTCTTTAGCTATGGATGCACGTATGCTCTATCGTCTATGATGAGTTGCGATTCGTCAGCCTTGGCAGCATTCCATGAACAGAGGAGAATTCGACGGTCAATTTCCGGCCTAAACATCTTGAACCAAGGTGTAGACGCACTGCAGTCGTCCGCCCAGATCCTATCCATTTTACTATGCCTGTCCTACGTCGCTTCCGTCAGGGAGATGACCTGTCTAAGTCACTTAAGATAGAGTGAGACACAGTCTCACCTTTTTGGGTAGAAGATCTGCCATCCACGGGCCGAGCACTGGCGCTGAGACCTTGGAATCGTGGCGCAATCAACACGGTGAGAAGTGTATTTGTAAACGTTTCTGTCATTCGGAGAAGCTAGCAGCACCCCGTGAGCCCCATTGATCGTGAGAAGTCTGAGCCGGCGTCATGGGCGTCATGCGCCGGGCCTCGACTTTTATCCAGATATCGGCGATGCTGCCTGGCTCCGAGACAATCTTCGGATATCATGTCCAGAACCTCCAGATTCTCGTTAAAGCCAGCACGATACCAGACACTGCTACCGGTACGATCAGATACCTCATGGTCCTCATCGCAGCCATCAGCCCTCTCTTCACCTCCCTATGTTGGAAATCCCGCATCCATAGCTCAAATTCTTTGCCATCATTAAGATATGGAAAAGGCTTGTGTGGGATTTCCTTGTCGAGGAACTTGCACAATGGCTCCCATCCCGAGCCAAGCTTGTACTCCAACAGGCGTTCTTTAGGAACAAGCTTCCGGATTTTCTCAGAATACTCCTGGCATATCAACTTGGCGTTTCTTTGCCATTGTGTTTGATTGCTGCAGCGAAACATTGCGTATTGCAGATCCCTTGTAACAGTAACGGGCTTCAGCGTTTGGAGAGGTTCGATCAGATTAAGTACAGCCCACATCTTCCAGGTGAAGAAAGACCTGATGACACCTTCGTCATATGATTTGTACCATTTATCCAGATCTCGGCAGACAAGTACAACTTTCGCCTTGATAGCCTGATTAGCCAGTCGATCCTTTGGATTGTGGTACGGTGGGCTCACCTCAGGATAAGTCTGGAGAAGCTCCTCTACGAACCCGATCGCCGGGTTATCTGAGACAACAGCCCATTCTCCAACCAAATCATCGAAGTCTTCTGTCTTAAAGGGCTTACCCTTTCCGTAGTACTTGGCCTGCACTGCATCGAACCAGCGGAGATGGTCTTGCGGTCTTTCGATATAAACGAATCCATGGTATGTCGGCATTCCAAGCTCTTCATATGCGGCCTTCATGGAAAAGCTCCCCGTCCGAGGAAGACTCATGTGCAAGACTTGGACATTGGATCTTTGAGCCACACTGGAGTTCATTTCTGAGCGCATGCTGCTAAAAGCATTAAGATGATCAAGAATATAGACTTCAAGGTCTTGGGGGAGGAATTGTTTTTCATACAAAGCTTCTGCGCCGCGGCTCGCTGCCTACAGGTCACTGTAAGCTGATCGAAAGTCCTATATATAAACACCACAATATCTATGCGCCATAAGTCATCTGGTGACCTTATTTTTGACGCTCGTTCCTGATCGAGGTTCGCCTGCGTTTCTTCTGTTGTTCTGTCCAATCACAATAGGTCGACCGTAAACATCGTGGCGAATTACACCAGGTCTTCGACGCCAAAGCGCCTAAAATCATGCATGCCGCCATTCGTGTCAATCCGATCACACTCGCGCTGCGGGGTTCAGCCTTTGAAGATCCAGTGGTAGGGTCGTTGTCGCCCAACCAAGTATTCAGATACGGGAGATATGTAGGAGTTGGCGGGATGAAACCAGTCTTCTGTATCAGCATCTGGTTGCTCCAAAATCAACCTGTTTTGTTTTGCAACCTCTGATGTAACATACAATAAGAGGATGTACCTTGAACGCCTCTTTTCAATGTTCATAGGAAGTCATAGTCAATTAATAACGTATTGAATCTGATTCTTCATTACCTCTGTGACATTGCTTCTTTTCCATCTGCAACGGCCAACAACCTTAACTCGTCAATGGACGTTGGTGTGGATTAATTATTTCAGAAAATGCCCTAAGGCACATTCACGCCGCCATGGAAACAACCTCAAACGGCGCCCAAAATCAAGTTCCTTCTTCATCCAATGCAGGGAAGCGTCCACTTTTGTAAAGTAATATGTCGAAACTTTACCTTGAGAAACATACTTTACCTTTACAGGTCCCTTGCACGTGACTTAACCTCTTCAAGAATCTTGGTGCCTGGATTGCAGCCACATCAGCTCTCGCTGAATAACTCCTCATCCTCAACCACTGCAACACACGTTACCCAACTTCTCTCACAATTCTCACCTTATTTTCAGTCAACCACTTTGAGTTCGCACGGCTAATTAGAAATTCAAGGCATCAACGCATTATGTCGTGGTCCTCTACGCAGCAAGAGACCGAGGGAGTGGCCCCGATCGCGCAGTCATGGCATCAATTCGAGCCAACGATCAACACTTGGGAGATAGTCGAAACCCACGACGTCAACAATCCTCCCCCATCCGCACCTCAAGATACTACCGAAATAAGCCCTCATTTTGTCCTCGCCACGTGGAACGTGGAGGCATTTGATCAAGAGCCTGCCCGCCGCATCACCGCAATTCTCGACCATCTTCTGAACCACTCGCCCTCACCCGATATAATCTTCTTCCAAGAAGTGTCGACAACGATGCTTAGTGCGTTGCTGAACAACAGCATAGTTCGCGACAATTGGTATTCCAGCGAAAAAGACTCACGAAACTGGATAGGCGCCCCTCTCACCGCTTTCGCTACAATGACTCTCCTATCCAAGGCCAAATTCGGTCACGCCGGCAGGGCAGCTCTGGCGGGTCTAGGACGGGTCTCGCGAATCAAGTATCGATCTTTCTACAGACGGGACGCACTGTGCAGTGAGGTGTTTGTACCATCGCGGCAACCGGGGGCTCAGATGACTGCGTACAAGCGGCTCCAACTTGTCAACGTGCATTTGGACTCCCTATCAAACGGGGCGGCATGTCGCCCAGCGCAACTGCAGTGCGTTGGATCACTTCTACACGACGTTGGCCATGGGCTGGTAGCGGGAGACTTCAATCCCGTGACTCCACATATCGATGCAAGCCTGGTGGAAGACAATGGCCTCCTCGACGCGTGGAAGGAGTTGAAAGGCGAGGAGACTGGATACACGTGGGGAGTTAATGGTACCGAAAGATTCCCCGCGAACCGGATGGACAAGGTTGCAATGGTGGGGCTCAGACCACTGCATATTGAAGTTTTGCACCCGATGCAGGTACTTCTACCTGGTGAAGATGGCTCTGTTCCATGGAGCGACCACTCCGGACTTAAGTGTACTTTCACGCTTGCCTCACCTTGAGTAAGCCAAATTGAAGAGGCTGGAATTATCCAAATAGTCATAATGTCATACTTTACTATCGCAAGAGTCCCTGGGTCTCACAATGTTTTCTCTACTTTGATCGCCCTGTGCTCTGGCTACGTCAGCGCTAGCACCAGTGTCAGCAATAAGCGATGTAGCTGCCTGGAAGCCCCCCTCACATGTAAATTCACCACGAACCGTCATAGAAGACGAAGCTTATTGGCTTACATCTGGCTTCCTGTGGGAATTCTTTAGTTTTTGCTTGAATCTTTGGCTAACTTGAGTTTCCTCTCACGACTCTCAGACAATTGACTCCCTCGACGATCAAATAACAATAACGATAATAATAGGGCCAACACGACCCGCGTCAGCTGGTTTCCCTAAGACACTTTGACATCTACTTTGTGCCGCATCATGGAGCATCTTCCGATACCCCGCGACCCAATTAGTGAACATCCGACAATAGCATTGGGCACCAAACAGTTCCATGAACCTGGGCCTTTTTCCGACTACCCGACACAGCATGGCGAGGTTCTCAACGCACAGTATCCACATGTTCCCACTCAAGCCGATGCCCTTCAAGGGCGGTTCACAGCCGGAATATCGCATATGCAGGTTATTGACTATTACCAAGGTTGGTTGTTTTGCTCCTTGCTCCAGGAGTTTCTGGGAGACCTGTATAAATGGCAAAAATATACGTCTTGGACATACGACGATCAACAAAGGCTCAAGACTATCAGCCTATCTACAAAGACTTTGCACGAGGACCTGGCATCGTTACGCGCAAGCGGGCCGCTGGCATCCATCCGAAGCGGTGATGCATATGAAGAGCACCTAAAAGAATGTTTGGATCAAGCATTCGAGGCCTTTGATGAGATCGATTTCAAATTCCCGGGCTTCTCGGCGGCCTTTGCCGAAGAAATTCTATGCCTGGCCAGCTTGGCCGAGACATTAGACTCTGCGGTTCAGACGGCACTCGTTCACGGACCAGTCGCCGGTAAGTTACGCACCCTCGGATAAGAGCTAGCAAATTCCAGACCCTGGAGCCTATGCTGATGCTGCCTCTCTATACAGAAATGGACCGAGGTGTACAGCACTTCCCAGAGTCAGCCAAGCGCCCATGGTTCTCCAAGGTCGCCTCCTTGCTTGATCTGTCCTCAGGAAATAATAAGCTCGCAATGATTAAGGCCGGCTGGTGCCCTGGTGATATCATTAAGATCGGCGAGAGCTTCAACACCATCGCCGCGTTCTATTACTTTAGCAAGTTCAAGGCGGATTCCACCGTGGCAGACTTACACAAAGACTGTCCCGAATATGGCTGCAGTCTCAGAATACCGGCAGAGCCTAAACACATGAGCGAAGGTTGCAACTGCCCGGGAATGATTTCATTTGATGAGGAAAACCTTATAGACATCTACCAAAAGGGCGATGTCCCTTGTTTTTCTATCGGAAGGCTTGAAGATGGCAGTTTGGGCATCGCTCTCAGTTCCTGCAGCATCGACGAAGAGTCGCAGAAAGACCCCAATAATCACTACGTCGCTCTCTCACACGTATGGTCAGAGGGTATGGGCAATCCGGCGGCGAATGCCCTACCCTTTTGTCAGCTGGCATACGTACAACACTGGGCAATGATGGCATACCAAGTTGTGGAAGAGACAGAAGCAGACGAATCAAAGGACGGCACGGGGATTATGATCCAAACGAAACCCAAAATACGCCAGCTTAATATCTGGATCGACACCATGTGTTGTCCTGCGACTCCTGGATATGGAAAGAATCTTTGCCTCTCCATGATGCGGGAAATTTACTCGAACGCCAATGTTGTCATGGTGAGAAGCGCAGTGCTTGAAGCTTTGGAAATAGGCGACATTGTACGGGATCCCTCCAAAGGGGTGATGGATGTTGCAGCACAGCTGTACCTATCTCCTTACATGCGCAGGATGTGGACATTACAAGAGGCAGTCCTAGCTGGTGCTTCCAGAGCCCGAGGGATTGGCGACCGGCTTTGTCTGTCATTCGCCGATGGCATCCTCTCGCTCGAGTCAATCATCAACCTTCTGAAGCAAGCCCCCCGACAAGAGTCCTTGTTGGCATACCGCTTCATGGCAGAATTCCGCGACCTCAGCACTCACATGTGGCAGCTAGGAGATGGGGATGGCGATAAGCCAGTGAAGCACAGTCTGAAGGGATTTGACTTCTTCTTGAGCATGCTCACTGCCGCTTTGAAATACCGCAACGTCACGGTTGCGTCCGACGAGGTGATTTGCTTGGCTACGCTGCTGAATCTGCGTATCAACAGCACACGGGGAGTCATACCTCTCATTGGTCACGGAGAGACTCCCGAGGAGGGCATGTGTGAGTTGTGGAGGAGGCTTCAGGGCCTCGGTGGGAGTCTGCCATCTGACCTTATTTTCTCCTCTGTCCCACGTGTTCAAGTCCCAGGATATCGGTGGGCACCCGCAACTCTTGTCCAGTACGCGAAATACGGCAATCTCTATGTTTCTCATTCCAGTGCGTATCCGGCGAAGATTTCCGACAAGGGTCTACACGTGAGGCTTCCTGGGGCGCGACTCACGAGTTTGGCTGCCACTGCTGGTTCATTTGGCAAGTTATTGCCAATGGTATCAATGAATGACCGAAAGGATATCCACTCGGAAGATGAAGCCACACCCCCTTCTGTATTTTTGGCAAAGCTACAAGCAGATGAAGATGGCTGGTTTGCTGTCAGGATCCACAAGGGCGAAAATGAGACCCGGGAATCCGGATCTGCACATGCAGAATCACGCTCCGAATCAAGTCAGAGGCCAAATCTTCTCCAACTCCTTAGGAGCAGATCTGCGGCGCTGATATACCAAAACGCCAACATCAGCGGGCCAGGTCTACTCGTTTCCATTGCGTCGCAACCGTCAGAACTGAGCGCTCTCGACATTCTGAGTCTGAATCAGGAGCCTTTGCAGACCACAAGCGAGTTACCTGTAAAGATAATGCCTCTCAGCGGCGGTGCCAGCATCATTGCTGAAGCAGCCAACAACTGTGTCGAAGAGTTGAACCGAAGGGTTGTGGTTGAGTCGAGACAGCGGACAGGCGGAGATGCCGTTGAGAATATCTGGGAAGATGCTGTTGTCATTGCTGAGCTAGTGAAGCAAACGGCGAAGAAAACTGTGGAAGAGTCCAGTGCAGCCCTGAAAGAAGCCTTGTATTTCGAGGTGTTGTCTACGAAAGCCTCTGCCACTTACGAGGCCGCCATCGAGCGCTTCATGCAGTATGTGCGCCAGGTGGCGTACTTTGGCGGCGGTATAAGGTGCGAGTCTTACCCGGACGACCAAGACTGGTATGTGGATTGATTCTGGTTTAGATCGGTATTAGACCTTCGCGGGGTTGGCGGCATTACCACCTCGCAAACAGAGCTTGCGTCCCTTTTGACCAGACGAAGATCTTGTTGGGCACTTTCTAAATCAGATGTCCGAAGGGTGACGAGGACTAATATGATTTGCCTTCATGTAATTCTCTTACTCAGATGGGCGAGATCATTGTTGGAATCGAGCCTAATGTTGATCGAAGAGGGGCCCTTCGCAAGGGCGTTGAACCTGGTTACTAACTCGATCAAGCCTCAACGGAAAGGCCCACTCTTTCAGTGTAAACTGCTTAGATATTCTAGGTAACCCGAGGGCCCGAGTGAGGAACTTAGAATCCGATCCTGAAGTGTTTAAGTCACAAATGTGAGGTCTCTTGTACCCCTGTCTTGAGGGTAGTGGCTGCTTGTGGCTTTAAGACAACTAGATAGCCGAGAGTAATGGTCGGCCAGCGGGGCCACGGACGCTTACTCCGTACCATTCTAGGTACTTTAAACATGCTCATGACGTTTCAAGCACGGAAACAGATAACCTCGTTTGAGACAGTACTTACTTTCCGGGCGGCTTGGCAGATCGGCGAGATTGGATCGCGTGCCCGGTCACGATCCGGAGGAGCTTCCACAACATCATATCTCCAGGATTAACTCATACGTGTGACTGCAATCCTTAGATAGTCAGAGTGAAAGATGGAGTTCACAAGCTTTGACACAAATGAAAGATTTACCTATTTCTACATTTACGCTGGGTCAATTATTACGTGCCCGCATGATATTGATGGGTTAGAGTCCTGGCCAGAGAGCTCCGCGTCGTCCGGGGCGTTCGGCGAGAATACCCACCGTCTCCCCACAGTCTGGTGCTCGTTACACGAGTCTTTGAGACATTCAAATGTACGAGTCATCCGAGTTATCCGCGCAAACCTTCATTGACAGTGAATAACTTTCTCAACTTACTCTCACTAGGTACCCCTTCAAAGTAGGTACATCGATCGCAACCGGCCATGCAATGACCACCGCCTCAACCCCACGTCTCTGTAGCTTGTGCCACACCCATAGATCCACGTATGGCGTATTGGAATTAGATCTACTCCTTTCATTTCCTCCCACAAAGCACTCACATGGAGTATCGGCTGGCTGCCGAGCCACAAGGCATTCTATCCTCTGCGTCCTATTTCAATCGGTTTGCCCGATGAAGACATTCAGTCGACGATCAAGGCGAGACAGACTGATCTAGGTCTTGAAGATAACATCGCATGTCCATTCCTGTCAGTCTTAAGAGCCTCCCAACAATCGGCTAACATGAATCCCATTGTCCTCTTTGCTATGGAAACGGCTGCTTGCGGCCCATCTGCAAGCGGGCAATCAGATAGCAATGACTTGGCGATAAAGAAAAAGCTGGTTGATGTGGTCGAGGTGGTCATAGATCCGCCTAGACATCCCCGCCTGGATTTCACCGAAAAGATTTGAACGCATGTAGAATGGCCGTTTCGACGATCACTCTCAATTAAATCGCTCTTGCTGCCATTTGATGCCTCTAGCTTTTTGTCCTTAATGGACGAGGCGTGTCACTCAGGTCGCGGAAGAGTGGTCTTGGGAAGAGTGGTTTTGGGAAGATTTTTGGGAGCTTTCCTATCTTTCGCCCATTAAGGACCGAGCCTTTGGTTCTAGAATACCCAGTCCTTGAATTAACATGTCGAAAATTCCGGGCTTATGGCGGCTCATCTTGCCGCCGCTGTTCCTAGGAAGCAGCAGCCTGGCCCAGTCATGCCTCGAGGCGCTCAACAACAATCAGGTCGACGCATGTGTGTGCTACTCCCTAGAATACGTCGTCAGTTACGTCGCCTACATCGCTGTTTCTACGTCATACACGTCAAATTGCGAGGCTCTGCCCACGATCTCAGCCACCACGTCCGTCACGCCTCAGATTCTAGAGAGTAACCCTGCAGGTGGCAACTATTCAGGGTACGTGACAGTCAGCCATGGAGTTTACACAGGAACAGACATCTTGACCGGGCCCACTACGAGAGCAATCCTGGGACTCGATGGATCAGGGACATTGGTAGTGGAGGATCCGCCTTCGTATACGACAGTTTCCCGAGGCGGTACGGCAACAGTCAGCCCTGGATCACTTCCGAACTCTGTCAACTCAACAAGCTTTCTGACTACGAATCCCATCACGGCACCACGAACCATTCTCGTCGCCAACCCCACGCCGGGAGCTTCCACAGCTTCTCAAGGAACTGTAGTCGTTGCAGTGCCTGATCCAAGATTATACAACACGAGTACACTCGCTTACACTGGGTCCGATCCCCTAGGCGCAACTCGTACGACCATTTCAACTATTGCAGAGTCTGGCTTTGTTCCTGGCACCTACGTTGTCGCTGTCGCCACGACGGCAGTACCAGATGTGTCCTACGATGTTTCTACGGTTGCGTACACTGGGACAGCCGTTATTTCAGGCCCAACCGTAGTGTCAGTCATCCAACCCACGGACGGGAGTGGTCGAGGAACTGTAGTGATAGGAGTCCCGCCGACTGGAGTTCCCCCTCCTCAGGTGACGTCGATAGTTCCGTACGAGGGCATGAGTTCAATTACAGGACCGACGACGATTCTCAACAGGCCCTTCGATAGCACTGTGCCGGGAACCGTCATAGTCGGACTTCCACCAGCATCTTTCATCACCCAGACTGTGCCCTTCACGGGCAGGGAAGTCCTTACAGCCCCAATCACTATCACGATAGCACCACCAAGCGGCTCTCAACATGGTACCGTTGTCATCGGAAGTCCATCAGTCACGTTCCTGGCAAGCTTCGTTCCTTTTACAGGGTCTACCCAGGAGACACTATCGGTGATCCAGCCTACAGGCACATCTCCAGGAGTTGTAATCATCGGGCAGCCCGGAGGTTCCAATCCAGATGTCGAGGATCCCACGTCTGCCGCCTCAGCGCCTCAAGTAACGCCAACCCGATTTATTACGTCGATTGTGACCTACACTCCTGCCTCAGATGCTCCGAACACACCATCGACCTTGGCTGTCATAGATGGTACGGTTATCATCGGGTTGCCTCGCATCGTCTCCCCAGCTGCGACTGGCTCGGACTCTTTTATCACTTCGGCAAGAAGAGGGCCCTTTGTCACCTCTACTGTTGACTTCACCCAGGGCGTGGACTTGCCGACAACTGTTGATCCTGTGGGAACCGTACCTGGAACGGTCTTTGTTTATGCCTCATTGAGAGGTGGAAATTCGGCAAGTCCGTTCGTTACTTCCGAGGTCGTGCTGCTTGGAACAGCGGCTGGCTCAGCGCCTACGACCATCTCCGTTGTTCAGCCAACCAATGGACTGCCTGGAACCTTGATCATTGGCAGACCAGCCATATTTGTGACTTCGACTGTCTCTTGGACAGGGTCGGTTCCTTTGGCATCTAGGACAACACTTGCAGTCGTGGCCCCCTCAGGAAATAGCCCCGGCACGGTCTTCGTTGCGGATCCCGCGGTTTTGGGAAGACAATTCTCAACGTCCTACGTTCGAATCTCTGGTACCCAGGAAGAGGGCGCTGCAACAACGTTAACTCTGATACCAGGCCAGGGCACTTCGCAGCCAGCTATCGTCGATGGAGTTCCTGATGACTACATTACTTCTACAATTGACTTCAGCGGCGCAGATATACTTACGACAAGAACCACACTTTCGACATTGCCGCCGAACGGGGTGGCACCAGGCTTCAGTATTGTAGCTGACCCATCAACCTTAGTGTCTACAGTAACACCCGAGGTAACAAATGGGGCTTCTGTTGTCCTTCAGCCCGACTTTATCACCTCAACAGTCTTGTATGAGGGCTCGACTACATCTGTTCTGACCAGTGTCCAGCCCTTAGAAACCAACAGGGGTACAATCGTGCTTGCAGTACCCTCGGTGGCTCCGCCATCAAGGCCTGGCGAAAGCCAAGTGTCGAAGGTGAACGATTCAAGCGTGGCTCTGGCCTCATTCATTACTTCGACGGCTGTCAGTCTTGACAGCTATTCTGTTACATCAAGAACTACAATCTCGACAATTACTCCTGATGTTGAGGCCTCTATATCTGGTACGTACGTCGTGGCCTTGCCCAACGCCTACGTTACCTCGACTGTGCCGTGGACTGGAGCAATACTCTTGTCAACCTTGACTACGATCTCGACCATACCACCTTCCGACTCTCAGCCGGGTGTTGTCGTCGTAGCTGCTCCGAATGCGATAGACTCATCTACATCTCAGCCAGTGAGTAGCAATACAGCCCCGCAGCCGGTTTCTACAAGCAATGCTGCCCCAGGAGACTCAGCTACACCGCTTCCTGCCACCCAGCTATCAGCTCAGACGCTTTTTGCAACCTCGACAGTACTTTTGGCGAGCAATCTTGGCATCTCATCAGCAACCACTTTGACAACACTTCAGGGGGACCCGGGTTCACCATCCATAGTACTGATTGGCGTTCCTGTTGCCACCGAGACCTCCATCGCGAAAGAGACACTGGGAGCCACTTCAAATGGATCTAGGCCACCTAGTGACTTGGAATTTGGAACCCCATCAACTCCTGCAGGCAATCTCATCTCGACAGCCACGCCCACTAACTCTTCACCATTGACAACTGCTCTCGCCAACTCTGTAATTGGTTCTGTCGTCACTTCAGACATTTTCTACAGCGGAACCAACCCGCTTACCTCGCCAATCCCGCTGACAACTCTCTCTGCTGGCCTAGGCAGTCTTTCGACCGTGATACTGCTCCAACCATCATCGGCCGCTGGCTTGATTAGCAACTCTGCAGGAGGTTCCGGCTCTAGGCCGCTGGAAGCTGTGTCGTCGTTGACGACCAATAGCCCACCAAGCCCAACTACCGTTGTCCTTGTTCAGTCTGGAACGACAGTTTTGCTGCAGGCTTCTTTTGTCACATCTACTTTAGATGCGGGCAGTAGTTCCTCAGACGGCTCTCAAGGGCTTGCTCCTATTTCTACGATCCTACCGAGCGCTGGTGAACCAGGTACTGTTTTGCTAGGACGGCCACCAGCGATAGCGTCATCGACTACAAGCAAGAGCTCGTCGTCAGAATTGAGCCCAGAAAACACGCCTTCCTCACAACTGTCAAGCTCACTAGGTTCCTCCGCAGTTTCTACCATACAGTTCCAGGTCTCAGACCCCCAAGACCTTACGAGGAGCTCGCAGACCGACTCAGGTCCAATAAGCATCTCCTTTCAAAGCGACATAGATAGCATAGCTTTCTCGACTGTTGCTAGCACGGCAGCTCCAGCAGACTCCAGCGCCACTAATGCAGCTTCTTCTGGGCGCCTTTCCAATCAATCCCCCTTTGGCACAGTCCCAGACTCGGCGGTGACGATTCCTGTTGCTACAGTCTTCGTTGACTACACGGGCACCGGAGTTCCAAGGGAGTTTTTGACGCTTAGAACGACTTCAGGGACCGTCATTGTTCAGAGACCTCGACCTCTTACAACTGTAGAAACATTCATCCCTGGAAGCATCTCCACTGAATTTCTCACAATCATTCCATCTGGCACCGAGCCTGTCACCATAGTCTTCGGAATTCCATCGCCGGCGGGCACAACTCGTGTCCTGATCTCTGGCCCAGAGGTTGTTAGCGTGGGAACGCCGTCAAGCACAACCTTGGTTGACACACACACCTCTGTGGATCCCCAAATAGCCGTTAGTAGCCCGACAAGCACAACGACGTCGGCATCTCAACAAGATGCTCCAAGTCTGCCTTATTCCACGTCAACCGCCATATCTACTTCGATCGATCCAGTTTCTCAGAGCTCCTCTAAGCCTCCTCCTTCCGGAAGTACAACTTCCGTGGCCGTCAATCCAGGTTTCCTCTCCCCAGTAACTGTCTTTACTTCGAGTTCAACTTCGACGTCCCCAGCCTTGGAAGCGACTTCGTCTGTTAGCCAGACTTCTGCAGAACTTACAACCGACTCGTCTAATCGGATTCCAGTAACTTCTTCATCCCTGTCTTCTGGCCCCGATAATATTTTATCGTCCGTTAATCCTAGCATAGACACACTCGCACTCTCTGCAATCATTTCTCAAGTATCCGGAACTTCGTCGATCCCAGATTCGGCCTCGAATGTGCCCTCACCTACAGCGACTCAGTTACAGGAATCCTCGTTGACTTCATCAACAACTTCGCCTTCCATTAACACGTCAACAACAAACGCGGATACCGCGCTTGCATCGGACCCCATTTCCGCTTCGAGTAGCTCATCTCCCGCTTCTGATACCGTTCTTTCAAACCCGCTTGCTTCGCCCACACCCACATCTCAAAGCACTGGAGTAGGAACCAATACCTTGAGTCCTGCTAGCTCAGATGTCTCAAGTTCGGATTCAGCCTTAGGGGTTTCTGGACTGTCCGGCATCTCAATCTCAGACACGTCCGCCCAGTCCTCATTGAGTTTGTTACTTCCGGTCACAGCTGATTTCAGTCTGGTTAGCCCAACTTCCTCGACTGAAATATCAACATCTGCAGAATCATCTCTTGAATTATCCGAGACTACTTCGTCCCAGGGGGCTTCAGTGTTATCGACACCTATTCCTGTTCTTGGAAGCACTTTTAGCACAGAATCCCCGACAACTAGCACCCTCTCAGTAGCGCCGGGTGTAAGTCAACATACCCACTTCCTGGCACCCCCCTGTTTCTGGCACCACAAAAACGATGGGATCACAACCCAACCTCCTCATTACTATTAACTATTGATCCTCAACCACACCCACTACAATACAGCTGCCAGCCTCACTAGGGCATTCAGAGTCGCTGGATTCAGCCGTGATAACCTCCTTTTCACCCGCTTCGATTTGAGCCCGATGGATATCCCTGATGTTCGCGAACTTCGTATTGGGATCG